GAGGCGAGGACCCGAGGAACAAGAGGACGAGCGGCACGAAGGTATTCAGACAGAGGAGGAGGCGCAACGGTAAGAGAGGACAGAGGAGGTGATAGTAGAAGGGGAGGACGAGACGCGTGGGACCGGAGCAACATAGGGTGAGAGCGCGGGACAGGGGAGACAGGACGAGCGCGGGAGGGACGGTGAGACCAGACGTGAGACGGAGGAGTGGGGTCAGGAGACAGAGGAGGGGACACAAGCGGGGAACAAGGGGGAAGACGAGCTGGGGACGAGTCCGGCGGAGGGAATACAGGGCCATAGACAGGAAGAGGAGGAGACGGGAGGAGAGGAACAGATGCAAGGTCAGGGGACGGAAGGCCGAGCAGGCGAAGGGCGGACACCGGCGGGGACAGCTGCTGCGGCGGCACAACACCGACACCGGGACGGCAAGCTGCGCCTCGGCTACCTCCGGGACATTCCACTACAGTGCCTCGGCTACCTCCGGGACACTCCACTCCAGCACCCCCAGCACTCCGGGAGTAACAGGGGGACCGCGATGGGGGAAGCGACGGTGGAAGGAGACGGACTCGTCAAAGGTGACGTCCCGAGAGTGAAAGAAGCGGTGAGACGGCGGGTTGTAGAAGTGCCAGTCGGACGCGTCAACGGGAAAACCAAGGAAGACGCAAGGAAGGGTGCGGGCAGTTAGCTTGTCCGTGCCGGAGGCACGGACGTGAGCAAGGCAGCCCCAGACGTGGAACGCAGACGCGTCACCAGGAGACCCAGTCCAAAGACGGGTCGGCGAAACCTGCGGCTGCTGAGGGTGCGGCCACAAGTTAAGCTGGTGAGAAGCGTAGCGAATGGCGAACGGCCAGAGAAAATGGGGTGCACTGGCATGGATCATGGAGGTGCGAGCCACCTCCATGACCAAACCGATGCGTCGCTCAGCGATCCCATTCTGCTGTGGGGATTCCGGTAGGGTGAACGTCTGGGTGATGCCCTCCGCACGACAGAATCGACCAAGGACACCTGAGGCAAACTCGCCACCACGGTCGGAGTGAAGACGCAAGACAGGGAGACCTCGGTGGACACGGGCAGAGACAAGCCAGGGGATGAGAGCGTCAGGCACGTCGGCCTTCCGCTCCAGGGGAAAGATTGTGGTGTAGCGAGTGAATTCGTCGACAAGTACAAGGAAGTAGCGCTCTCGACGCGGCCCATGGACGGGGGCGGGGCCCCAGACGTCCATGTGCAGGGTCTGCAGCAGCGCGGCGGTAGGGGGAAACGAGGAGTGAGGGGCACGGCGAAGCCGACCCTCGACACAAGGCGTGCCCAGTGGGGCGGGGGAGGAGGGAAAAGCGGGAAACGAACCGGGGAGACCAAGAACGAGACCGTGCTGAGACATGTGACATAGACGCGGGAACGCAGGGTGACCTAAGTGGTGGTGCCACAGAAGATTCGGGTGAGTGAGGGACCGACAGGAGCAGGCAGCAGCAACCTGGGAAGACGCAGCCACCTGAGGGGGTGCCCCAGCCGGGGGTGTCACGGTGTCCAAGGTGAACAGGCCGGACACCGGGTCCCGGGGGAACGTGGACAAGGGGGCACCAATGGCGGCCTTGGTACAGACAGCATACCGCTCGTGACCAGGGAACGTAGTGGTGACGCCAAGGTTTTGGATACAGCCGACACCAACTAGGTTCTTGGAGAACGAGGGGATATGCAGACCTGTGAGAGAGCCCGAAGGAACCGCCGAACAGGGAAGGGTGGTGGAACAGCGGGCGACGACGGGACCGCCAGAGGGGTCAGCAAGAGAAACGGCAGCAGGAGCAGGAAGCGGCGTCAGCGTAATCGAGTCGCGGAAGAAACACCGGGAAGCGCCAGAGTCCAAGGTGAAGGAAAGCGAAGCAGTGGCGTCTGGCGGAGTGGCGACGGTGGAAGCACCAAGGCTAAACAAAGCAAGAGCCCCTACGCCTGATGCATCAGGGGAAGCTAAGCTAGGCACACCTACACTAGGCGACAAGGAGTAATAAGAGGGGAGCACACTAGAGTCATTAGCATACATCACATGCAGGGCATAAACAATGGCATCCATGTCCATGTCAAAAATCTGAACTCTACGACTAAGCAAACTGTGCCAGTCCAGGAGGTCAGGCGCCGGGCCGAAGCGCTGACGAAATAGGTCGTCTAGGCAACGAAAACAGCGGGCAGTGACGTGACCGATCTTACCGCAAACAAAGCCGCAGCGAGGACCGGTCTGGATCTGGTACTGACAGCGCACGCCTCCTGAACCGCCACCCGGCACACCACCACGCGCGCGACCACCACCAGTGGGCGGGAGGGCACTCGCCTGCCTCGTCTGCTGTGGCTGCTCCGGCTGGTGCGGTTGCTGCGGCTGCGGCGGCTGCTGCGGCTGCTACTGCTGCTGGGGCGGCTGCTCAGCTGGACCTGGCAGGGTCCCCTCATCCGCTCCACCCCCAGACGACCCGACTCCTCCACCTCCACCTGCATCCCCACCTCCTCCGCCACGCCCAGCCTTGGGGCGGCACCCCTTCCCCGGACGGAACTGCGCTGCAGCGGCGGTCTCAGCCACAGCAGCAGAACCATCGGAGAAGGTGCACTGAGCGGGGGCACAATCCTGAAAGATAGGGACCTGCACAGTACCGCTCGCCTGAGCGATGGAGCGGTGGCGGGTCTCAATAACAGTCAGGGTGTCTACAGAGTCTGTGAGGGTGAGGTCACCGGGGTGAACGCTAAGGAAGTGGTCACGAGCAGCGGCAAGGTGGTCAGGGACACGGGTGGCAAGCATGTAGAGGGTAGAGGTAAGGGGCGGCTGGTGGGCTCTAAGCTGTGCGTCAGTGCAGGCAGCGCGCCAGGTCTCATCTATCATGCGCAGGTGGGCAGCCAGGTCAGCGACAGTGGGGAAAGACGCAAGGTCAGGAAAGAGCATCGGTAGGATCAGGCGGCCCACCGAGGCAGCAGGGGGGGCGGAATAGCGCCGAATGACAGCATCTAAGAAAGCCTGGGCGGTGGTGATAGACCTAAAGCGAGGGCGCTCAGACAGGGGGAGGGCATTGCTAATGGCAAGCTGTGCAACAGCGTCGCGGGAAAGCCAGACAGAGCGAGCGAGTGCAGCGGCCGCAGAAGACTCGCGCTCAGCAGAGGTGGGGTCAGCGGGCAGCACAGCAGGGGGGTCTGGGCAAGGAAGCGTACCGTCAAGGTGGGCCGAGAGCGGGTGGCCATCCTGCCGCTGACCAGTGAGGTGGCGGTGGAGGTCGGCTAGCCACGCCTCGAACTCCAGAGGCTGGCCCTCAGCATCGAAGCGAAGCTCCGCCGCCATCAGGGACAGTGAAGGGCAGGGCCAGATGAGGCAGTGCAGTGCAGTACAGTGCGGTGCAGTGCGGGGCAGTGCGGGGCAGTGCGGTGTAGTGCGGTGAAAAGTGATGAAGAACCGTACCGGGGAGGGTGCAGTGCAGTAGCAGGCACGAAAAGCGGGCCGCACGCAGATCGGCGGCAGTCCAGCTGGAAGGGAGCACGGGGCCGGAGGTCGACGGGTAGAGCGCGCGCAGGAGCCGGCAGAACGGGCGCGGCGGGGCCAGGCAGGCGCGGTAGGGCCAGGCAGGCGTGGCGGGGCCAGGCAGGCGCGGCGGGGCCAGGGAGGCGCGGCGAGGCCAGGCAGGCGCGGCGGGGCCAGGCAGGCGCGAAGGGCCAGGCAGGTACGGCGGGGCCAGGCAGGCGCTGTGGGGCCAGGCAGGCGCGGCGGGGCCAGGCAAACGCGACGGGGCCAGGCAGGCGCGGCGGGGCCAGGCAGGCGCGGCAGAGCCAGGCAGGCGCAACGGGGCCAGGCAGGGCGTGACGGGGCCCAGGAGGGGCGCAACGGGGCCGAGGAGGGGCGCGACGGGGCCAGGAGGCGCGACGGGGCCCTGGAGAGGCGCGACGGGGCTAGGAGGTGCAGCGGGGCCCAGGAGGGGCGCGACGGGGCTAGGAGGCACGACGGGGCCCAGGGGGGGGCGCGACGGGGCTAGGAGGCGCGACGGGACCGAGAGGGGCGCGACGGGGCTAGAAGGCGCGACGGGGCTAGGAGGCACGATGGGGCCCAGGGAGGGGCGCGACGGAGCTAGGAGGCACGACGGGGCCCAGGGGGGGGGGGGTGCGACGGGCCTAGGAGGCGCGACGAGGCCCAAGGGGGGGGGGGGGGGGGCGCGACGGGGCTAGGAGGCGCGACGGGGCCCAGGGGAGGGCGCGGCGGGGCCTAGCTAGGGTACGGGCGGAAGCGGTAGGTGGGGGATTCTAACCTACGCCTGATACCATCTCAGAGTAAGAACTGAATGATTGAAATAGAGAGAGAGTACAAGGGTATATACCTAAGTGTTGTACCCTCTAAGAGGTGACCGTATACAGTTTATACAAACATGAGACATACATATGTTTGACACTATCAAGCATTCAATTATATATAACATATATATAATTTAATAGGATGCCCCAGACATAGATCGAGAATTACCCGATGTTACGAGTCTACCTCCAGTCACGCAATGTGGGCGACGTCGGCGGTCTTAGCGGAGACCATACCTTGGAGGGGGGAGGGTGTAAGAAAATGGCATTTCCTTATCGTGTGTTTTAATTAGTAAGGCGTACACTGCTATAACGGGGTTGCTGCGCAGCTCTGCCACGAAATTCAAATCGCGGTTCCAAAATGTGGCCTCTTGACGAGCCACATGCATTTTGTCCACCTTGCTGTTTCTTTTCATGCCTAGATCTGGACGTTTCGCGTCAATTTACGAATCACAACCGTGTGCTCTAGGCTAGCTGTATCCATGCTCTCCGCTGTTTTGATGTGGGCTCAGTTGTATTATTTCCTCGTTACTCAATCCTTCGACACACGCTCTTTGTGCTTCATTACATATATGTTTCCCTCAGAGTTTATAACAAGCGGTGCTGCTTATGGATGGTAAGTGTTTCCCCCCCTTGCCTGTTGCTCCTCCCAATGATTTGGCAGGTGAGTGTTTCTGTCTGTTGTCCCCTCATGTCTGTCTCCGTCATCCTTCCGTCACATCTCTAGCCTGGATCCCTTGGTTTCCTGCTGCCAGGCGCTGAGCCTGAAGCCTGAAGCTAATCCATATCGCCTGAGAAAGGACAGGCAAATTCGAGTCACAAGGTAGCCGCTACCCAGGTCGTCAGGCGAATCTTACTATTTGGTTTGCGGCAAGTACTTAGCATCTAAGGTCGCTCCTCAGGGTCGTCCTAAGGCGTACCTTCAATCATTGCGCGTGTATCCGCTGATAGGCATTTTAGGGTTTCCGGAGCAGGAAGAACAGGATGGCTGCTACAGCAGCTAACAGCAATCTTCCAAGGAGAATAATTAAGGTAGGAAAGTAGCGGGGAGGATCGCGTCGAGCAGTTGAATCAGCGTCATTATTGCGATTGTGCTCACAGCCTTCTTCGTTTTGTCATCTTCTTTTCAGGAAACTCAACGATTGTTGAGCGAGCCTGGTAAGTGTTTCCTTCATAGTTGTGCGCTAATCAACTCGATAGTCGTGCATCTGTTCCTGGCTCTCTGACACATATTCTCCGTGCGCGTGCAGCTCCAGGGATCAGTGCGTCACCTTCGGAAGAAAACCTTCGTTATTTCAATGTCATGATCCTGGGTCCCTCTCAGTCTCCTTATGAGGGTAAGCCGCGTGGTCAAGTTCGTCTATGATTGGGACGCAATGTTTCGGCAACTTTCATGTGAGTCGGCGTGCTCCTGTTACAGGTGGAATATTCAAGCTCGAGCTGTTCCTTCCTGAAGAGTATCCCATGGCTCCTCCGAAGGTATCCTTTACTTTCTTCTCCTCCTCGTAGATAGCCTGCCGAGTTGGTTGTGTATGACTATCTGATGGCTGGATTGGTGCAGGTCCGTTTCCTTACGAGAATCTACCACCCGAATATCGACAAGGTATTTACCTGAAAGCAGATTCGATATGAAGGATTCTCGTCAAGATCGTGTGTTTTTTTGGAGCTGGTACACTCATACTCTACTATTCGTCCTTCCCAAACAGCTTGGCCGCATCTGCTTGGATATCTTGAAAGACAAATGGAGTCCAGCACTTCAGATTCGAACTGTTCTCTTGAGGTGTGAGCAGTGTCTCTCAGCTGATTTCTATGCAGCAGTAGTTTTTCTGAACGATGGTGGCTGATTTCCACAAACTTGTTCATGCAGTATCCAAGCTCTGCTGAGTGCACCAAATCCTGATGATCCGCTAGCTGACAACGTTGCCAAGCACTGGAAGTCAAACGAGGCAGAGGCAGTTGCCACAGGTAATCAGTTCAACACAATTAGCCGTTTTTGTGTTGTATGCGTTTCAGTTTTCTAACGTGTCTCTGTCCACCCTCCTGCAGCTAAAGAATGGACACAATTGTATGCAACTGGAGCGTAACAGCCGGAAGATTGTGTTTCTAGGGTTTACTGCAACCTCGTTAGGGAATCTAGGCATGCCATTAGCATCAATGACCAGTTTCATCAATAGTGAGAGTTCATGGAAGCATACACCCCAGTTTGTGGTGGCATACACATACAGTTGCACAAGATGTGACAGACAGGCTCCTTACCATCCCTTACTATTATCTTTTATACATCACAACCTTACCTGTCAAGTGAAGTCAACGTAGTCCTGATTTTTAGGAAAATTCCTTTCCTGAATCTTCCCATTTCACAAACTTCAAGCAAGGGCCAAGCCAACTGTACAAAGTCTATGTACAAGCAGTCTCCCTCCACATCTTGCTCCACCACCACCACCATCCCAGAGTTCTTCACACCGGTACTCCTCCATTGTCACCTCCCCTCATGCTCTCTCACGTCTAGACTGTCGTGTACCCTCCCTCCTGCTTTCCTCTAACTTCATACCACTCCCTCCATCTTGGGACCCTGCCCACCCCCAACACTACCGCCAGCGCCAGCACCACCCATGGGCTCATCGCCCCCCATCCCACCACCAGCACCTGCAGGTCCCCCACCAATCTGCTGGTACATGCGAAGCGGACCCCCTCCAGCTCCTTCTGCTTGTCTTCGAATCCCCCTCTTATCAACTTCCTCAATCTTGGGCCCCTGCCCAGCACCACCGGCAGCACCAGCACCACCCATGGGCTCATCTCCCCCCATCCCACCACCGGCACCTGCAGGGCCCCCACCAGTCTGTTGGTACATGCGGGAGAATATGGGCGAGCAGATCCCCTCCAGCTCCTTCTGCTCGTCCTCAACTCCCCCTCTAATCAACTTCCTCAATCTTAGGCCCCTGCCCACCAGCTCCAGCACCGCCAGCACCACCCATGGGCTCATCTCCCCCCATCCCACCACCAGCACCTGCAGGGACCCCACCGCTCTGGTGGTACATGCGAGAGAAAATGGGCGAGCAGACCCCCTCCAGCTCTTTCTGCTTGTCCTCGAATTCGTCCACCTCTGCCAGCTGGTTCTGGTCCAGCCACTCGATCGTGGTGGTAACCGCATCCTCCACCTTCTTCGTGTCATCTGCTGGCAGCTTGGAGGACACCTTCTCATCCCTGCCAAGGAAGAAAAGTATTGTACGGTTTGTACGGTTTGTTCAAGGGAAACGAGAAGGCCATGGAAACGGGGGAATGCGGTTCAAGACACCATAGATTATCAAGTAGCGAAACAAGCGTAGATTGCCCGTCCCAAATACGAGAAAGGCAAGCACTTTACTCTCAGAAGAATTCACCTGCACCATACCAGATGGTGCTCCTGACGTCGTTGTGCGTACTTGAAAGAATTCACCAGCACCTTCTTGCCAAATCTCCACACCAGAGTGTACCGAGGACTCACAATCCACAAACCACAATCCAAAGACCATCACCACGAACCAGCCGTATGGTGTTCCTGATGTTGTTCAGGGAATTTGTCGCCTCCACCTTTTTTTCACCAGCTCATCCTCCTCCTTGTACCTCTCAGCCTCCTGCACCTGGCTCCTCTTTATCACCTCCTTACCATGACACCTACCAACCGAAATGGCCGAACTGAGCTGAGGAACCAGCCATAAACCCAACCATAAACCCAACCACAACTCACCGAATGTCTACCAACCCACAACCCTCCAGCAGCACAACTCCCCGGATGGTGTTCCTGATGATGTAGGTGTAGTTCTCCAGGGAACTCTTCACCCCATCGTCTTCTCCTCAGCACTGACGTTCAAAATCAAGCCATCACTGCCAGAGACTCACCGAATGGTGTTCCTGATGTTGTAGGTGTAATTCTCGAGCGAGTTCTTCGCCTCCACCTTCTTCTTCACCTGCTCATCCTCCTCCTTGTACCTCTCCGCCTCCTGCACCAGCCGCTCTATCTCCCCCTTGCTCAACCTTCCCTTGTCATTTGTGATCGTGATCTTATCCTTGCGGCCCGTCGTCTTATCCTCCGCACTAACGTTCAAAATCCCATTCGCATCGATATCAAACATCACAGTGATCTGCGGCACCCCGCGCGGCGCAGGCGGGATTCCCGACAGCTCAAACTTCCCCAGGAGATTATTATCCTTGGTTCTCGCCCTCTCCCCCTCGTACACCTGGATCAGCACCCCTGGCTGGTTATCCGAAAACGTCGAGAAAACCTGCTCCTTTTTCGTCGGAATCGTCGTATTCCTGGGGATCAGCACCGTCATCACCCCTCCGGCCGTCTCCAGACCCAGAGAGAGCGGGGTCACGTCCAGCAGAAGCAGATCCTGCACCTGCTCGCTCCCCTGACCGGTCAGAATCGCGGCTTGGACGGCCGCGCCGTATGCCACGGCCTCGTCGGGGTTGATGCTCTTGCAGAGGTCCTTGCCGTGGAAGAGGTCCTGCAGGAGCTGCTGGACTTTAGGGATGCGGGTTGACCCGCCCACGAGAACCACGTCGTGGATCTGCGACTTGCTCAGCTTGGCGTCGGTGAGGCACTTCTCGACTGGCTCCATGCTCTGATAGAAGGGAGGGAGATAAGGCAAGGGGGGGAGGCAAGAGAAGGGGGAAGGTGTGGAGGTGGAGAGGTGGGGCTATGAGCCTCACAGGGGTTGATGATTCTCTTGCAGAGGTCCTTGCCGTGGAAGAGGTCCTGCAGCAGCTGCTGGGCCTTGGGGATGCAGGTTGAACCACCCACCAGCACCACGTCGTGGATCTGAGACTTGCAGAGGTCCCGTGAAAGAGGTCCCACAGGAGTCCGCAACCGGCTCTGTGCCCTCTGGTAGGGGGGGCAGGACAGGGGGGGGGGTTGGCAAGCCGGGGAAGAAGTGGGCAGCGGTGGAGGTGAAAGGGTTGGTGCGCACCTTGCCTAGGTTGTCCACACCCCCTCCCCCCCACACCCACCCAATCTCACCTTCCTCAACAGGTCCATCCTCAATTCCTCAAACCGTGCCCAGGAAATGGTTCTGTACAAGTCAATGCCCTCATATAGAGAGTCCTCTCTCACACACAGAGTCATACACACACTCTCTCACCCACCCACACCTTCCTGAACAGGTCCGTGGTGAGCTCTTCAAACCGCGCCCAGATGATGGTGCCCTCTAAGTCAGTGCCCTCTAAGTCAGTGCCCTCTAAGTCACTGCCCTCTAAGTCAGTGCCCTCTAAGTCACTGCCCTCTAAGTCAGTGCCCTCTAAGTCAGAGCCCTCTAAGTCAGAGCCCTCTAAGTCAGTGCCCTCTAAGTCAGAGCCCTCGAAGTCAGTGCCCTCTAAGTCAGTGCCCTCTAAGTCAGTGCCCTCTAAGTCAGAGCCCTCTAAGTCAGTGCCCTCTAAGTCAGAGCCCTCTAAGTCAGAGCCCTCAAAGTCAGAGCCCTCTAAGTCAGAGCCCTCTAAGTCAGAGCCCTCTAAGTCAGAGCCCTCTAAGTCAGAGCCCTCTCTAACAGTCATAAACACGCTCTCTCACCCACCCAATCCCACCTTCCTCAACAGGTCCATGTTCAACTCCTCAAACCGCGCCCGAGTAATCGTGCTGTAAAAGTCAAATCCCTTCATACAGGGAGTCAATCTCAATGGTGGTCTGCGCGGTCGAAGAGAGGGTATTCTTGGCTCGCTCGCACACACACAGCCCTTGAGAGCTCACCTTCCTGAAAAGGTCCATGTTGAGTTCGCAGGGTATTTTTGAGAATTCTAAAAAATTTGCAGGGTATTATTGAGAATTCTCAAAAATACCCCACACACACAGCCCTTGAGAGCTCACCTTCCTGAAAAGGTCCATGTTGAGTTCGCAGGGTATTTTTGAGAATTCTAAAAAATTTGCAGGGTATTATTGAGAATTCTCAAAAATACCCCACACACACAGCCCTTGAGAGCTCACCTTCCTGAAAAGGTCCATGTTGAGTTTGCAGGGTATTTTTGAGAATTCTAAAAAAATTGCAGGGTATTATTGAGAATTCTAAAAAATACCCCACACACACAGCCCTTGAGAGCTCACCTTCCTGAAAAGGTCCATGTTGAGTTCGCAGGGTATTTTTGAGAATTCTAAAAAAATTGCAGGGTATTATTGAGAATTCTAAAAAATACCCCACACACACAGCCCTTGAGAGCTCACCTTCCTGAAAAGATCCATGTTGAGTTCGCAGGGTATTTTTGAGAATTCTAAAAAAATTGCAGGGTATTTTTGAGAATTCTAAAAATTAACCCACACACACAGCCCTTGAGAGCTCACCTTCCTGAAAAGGTCCATGTTGAGTTCCTCAAACCGTGCCCGGGTGATGGTGCTGTAAAAGTCAATGCCCTCATAGAGCGAGTCGATCTCGATGGTGGTCTGCGCGGTCGACGAGAGCGTGCGCTTGGCTCGCTCGCAGGCAGTCTTGAGGCGGCGGATGGCCCTGGGGTTGCTGCTAATGTCCTTCTTGTGCTTGCGCTTGAACTCCTGGGAGGTGAGGAGGGGAGAGCAAAAGAGCAAAGGAAATGGGATTCAACGTCAGTCAACGCCAGTCAGCTGCAGTGGACGAGAGCGTGCGCTTGGCGCGCTCGCAGGCGGTCTTGAGGCAACGGATGGCGGGGGGGTTGCTGCCGATGTCCTTCTTGTGCTTGCGCTTGAACTCCTGAGAGGTGAGGGGGGGGGACGCGACAGAAGAAAGAAGAATGGGAGAGAGGGGAGGAAGGCAGGCGAAAAACGGGAGGGTGAGAAAAGGGCGGACAGGGGAATGGGAGGAAGTGAGAAGCCCACGGGCACGGCAGGACAGAAACACACCTGCCGGGTTGGAGTTGCTGGTAATGTTGTGTCTCTCACCTGCACAAAGAAGCTGACCAGCCGGTTGTCAAAGTCCTCCCCGCCCAAGTGGGTATCCCCAGCCGTGGCCTTCAACTCAAAGATCCCCTCTTCGAGACTCAGACTCGACACCTCAAACATGCCGAGTCTATTTTTGAGGCGCCTCAAAAATAGACTCCTCACGCGAGACTCAGACTCGACATGTCAAACGTGCCCCCGCCCAGGTCAAAGATCAGCACGTTGTTCTCCCCCTTGCGGCTCGCCTTTGGTACTTAGAAAGTCTCCCCACTGTCGTACTCTCACATAATTCTATCCCTTGCGGCTTGCCTTCTTATCCAGCCCATACGCGTGCCCGCTCATATCCCTTTCACAGGCACTTTCACAGGCTTGAAGTCTCACCTGCATATGCTGTGCCTCTCACCTGCATATGCTGTGCCTCTCACCTGCATATGCTGTGCCTCACACCTGCATATGCTGTGCCTCTCACCTGCACGAAGAAGCTGACCAGCCGGTTGTCAAAGTCCTCCCCGCCCAAGTGAGTGTCCCCAGCTGTCGCCTTCACCTCAAAGATCCCCTCCTCAATACTCAGAATCGACACGTCAAACGTGCCCCCGCCCAGGTCGAAGATCAGCACGTTGTTCTCTCCCTTGCGGCTCGCCTTCTTGTCCAACCCATACGCGATCGCCGCCGCAGTCGGCTCGTTGATTATCCTCATTACATTCAGCCCTGCTATAACGCCCGCGTCCTTAGTAGCCTGCCGCTGCGAGTCATTAAAGTACGCCGGGACCGTAACCACCGCGTCTTTAATCTTCTTGCCCAGGAACGCCTCGGCGATTTCCTTCATCTTGGTGAGAACCACCGAGGAAACTTCCTCGGCTGCGAATTGCTTGCTCTCGCCCTTGTATTGGACCTCGATCGTGGGCTTGTCTCCCGGGCCGGAGAAGACCTTGAACGGCCAGTGCTTCATGTCCGCTTGCACAGTAGGGTCCGAAAAGCGCCGCCCGATCAGCCGCTTGGCGTCTGAACCACAGGGGAAGGAGGGGGAGAAGGAAAAAGAGGGGGAGAGAATGCAAGTTCAGAGCGAGAGAGGGAGCGCTCAATTGCCCTTGTATTGGACCTCGATCATGGGTTTGTCTCCCGGGCCGGAAAAGACCATGAACAGCCAGTGCTTCTTGTCCGCTTGCACAGTCGGGTCCGAACAACACGAGGGGACGAGGGGACCGCCCAATCAGCCGTTTCGCATGCGAACAACACGAGGGCGGGAGGACGAGGGGAATGCGAGGAGAGGGGGAGGGGGAACAGCATGAGGGGATGGGGGGGAACAGCAATAGAAGAGGGGGAGGTGGGGGGGGGCAGCAATAGAAGAGGGGGAGGTGGGGGGGGGCAGCAATAGAAGAGGGGGAGGTGGGGGGGGACAGCAAGAGAAGAGAGGAGAGGTATGATGATTAACGTGTTGGAGATAGGTCTCTGACCAGCAGGGAGAGTAAGTGGGTAGGAGGAAGGGAGGGGGAAAAAAGGTGGCCATAACAGCTCGGATATTCTTTAAAAAAACGAAGGAAAGCAAGCCCGAAGAAAGGCTGCTTTAAGCGCCACGCTAGACACAACACCACTAAGCATCACACTTACCAAATACTGTATTGGTGGGGTTCATGGGGTTCTGAACAGGATCACCAATCAGCCGCTCCGCGTCCGTGAACGCCACAAACGAGGAGATCACCACTAAGCATCACACTTAAAAAAGCATCAACCATCGTGACAACCGGTAAGCATCACACTTACCAAATACCGTGTTGGTGGGGTTCATAGCCACTTGGTTTTTAGCAGCGTCGCCAATCAGCCTCTCAGTGTCAGTGAATGCCACAAACGAGGGCGTGGTCCGGTTCCCCTGGTCGTTCGCTATAATCTCCACGCGGTCATGCTGCCACACGCCCACGCAGCTGTACGTCGTGCCTAAATCGATGCCTATGGCCGTCTCCCCCGCAGGAGGCATGATGGTGACTGTATCGAAGGTAGTGTAACACACGAACCCAAGGCCAAGAAGTCGCTTGATTCTACGAAATGTCGACTAAAACCCAGAGCGCCACCACTCAGCTTCTAGAGGAGCGCGCGAAAGTCGTCGCGAGAGGGCAGACAGCAGCAAGAGAAGCGAGCATTTGCCAGGAGTTGAGAACTCAGCAACGAGCCGTGGAGCGACGCTCGTAGCAAATATATCCCTCTCGGATGGCTCGCAGCAACGCGGGGAATGCCAATGTCCCCCGTTCCTCGCCGCACGCTTTCCCCAGGTCGCTAACCGAACCGGGACATCCCCACCAGGGATGTCCTTTGAAACTCTGGAAGCCACTCGAATAGGTTCGGAAGTCTCGATAAGGTTCGGAAGTCTCTTGATAAGGTTCGGAAGCCTCCAGATAAGGTTCGGAAGTCTCTCGAATAGGTTCAAAAGCCTCTCCGAATCGATTCGGAAACGTCCGGAATTCGAGAAACTTCTAGCGAGGCTACCTGCATGCAGTTATCAGAGTCGCGACAGCCCTTCAAATCTCCGCGTCGCGCCGTTTCCTAGAGCGTCGCACTTCGTCTGAACGAGTCGCGCTGTTGACGAGGGTTCGAGAAGGGTCGTCGTCGATAAACCTGGGAGGTCCGCTCACGGAGAATGAACTTCCGTCGCCCATGCCGTCGCATCCTTGCGACCCGGCGGCGGTGCCGTGAAAGTCGCGCGTCGCACGGCGTGCTGAGACCTAGTGCTTACGACGGCCGTCTCGAGCTTTCACGAAAGACTCAGCAAGATGGCGAACATCTTGCTTAGGTGTATGTAACTTCTATAATGAAAAGCCGTCGCCGAAACGAAACATTCGCAGCTGCGTGCGCTTCGATTACGGTGCATGCGACCAGGAATCGACGATCGCCAGTTGTGCCAAATTCTAGATTGCATGACTGGCCGCTCGGTCGAATGAAGGTGGGTCTCGTATCGCCACGTGCCCTCCTTCGACGCGTGGTCATGCATCGTAAGACGCGCCGCAAGGGCTGAGACTTGCCGTTGGGGTCCTCCATGCGCGCCGCTTTGCCCTGCTGCTGACGAGGCAACCATGTGGAAACTAATGTAGTTGCATTAGGGCGTGTTCTTCCTACGGGGCTCTTGCTAGGCTCTCTTCCAAAAAGTGGCAGCTGTTTCCGAAGGGCAAGATCGCTGGTTTTGTTAGATACTCATTTGACCACTATAAAACGCAAAGAAACTTCATGCACTGGAGTCAATCAGAGCTTTGGACAGACCCCGATTGTAGCAGCTACAGCAAATGTTTCACACTGTGTGGTGAGAATGGTTAAGAGTGTATAGTAATTCCTTAGACTTGGAAATTTTTGTTCTCACTACAATACCATCATTCTATCCCTATTAGAATGAGAGCAAGGCAGATGTGCTGTGTTCACGCCAGACCTTACATCCATGTTGAAAATCCCGAATCCAATCTCCAATATACACATACAAAATACATCCAAGAATATCCCATCCCCCTAACCCAATGACATGGATATCACATCAGCAACAACCCCCACACCTAGAAGCCCCAGCACATGGGACGCCCACCTGAGTCCCCTCAAACACTACAAGCCATAGGACATGGCCTCAGACTGCCCAATCGTAGTCAGGGACTCAGGGTGGACTCTGCAGCCAGGTGATCACCTACCATTGTGGTACCTCCCACCAGAGCAGTCATAAAGTCCCACAAGTGGCAGCTGGGCCAGGGGCCTACAGGCTTTAGTAAAGGATTTTAAGCTACCCATTCACAGTCAGCGTAAACACTGAAGCCAGGTAATCACCCGCTACGGTAGCTCCCACCAGCGCAGCCATGCACTGTCGCAGGTGATAAGAGGGCCACGGGGCCAGGGGACCAAGGGCCTACATGCCATAGTACATGGTCTCAGACTGGCTGTTCACAGTCAGGGTGAACGTTGAAGCCAGGTTATCCCCCGTCACGGTAGCTCCCACCATCGCAGCCATGAAATTTCGGAGCGACAAGACATCGGCCTTGGGCTTGGCAGGGGTTGTTGCTGCAATCTTGGCGGCTGTTCCAGGCTTGGTAGCCGTTATGCCAGTTGCCTTGGTAACGGTGGTTTTGGCAGGAATGAGCACGTCGATGGTCTTGAAGCAAGCGAACACGCCCTCGATTGGAGAGGTGAGCTTGCATTTGAGTGAGAGAGGCTCGGAGTTGGTGCGGATAACCCGGGTCGCTAAGGAGACAGGCGTATTGGGCGTGACGCACCTTGTGAAGAGGAGCTGAACGAGAAGGGTGACCGTGGTGTTGCTGCACGCCAGGGAAAGGGGGGGGAGGGAGGGGTGGGGGAGGGGGTGGGGGTGGGGGTGGGGGTGGGGGGAAGATGGAAACACGGTTTGAGAGTGGGAGGGGCTCCGAGGTGGTGCCAGCGATCCGAGCCTCCAAGGTGACAGGCGGGTTGGGCATGACGCCCCTGATGAAGAGGAGCTGAACGAGCAGGGTGACCGTGGTGTTGCTGCATGCCAGGGAGAGAGGGGAGGGGTGAGAGGGGAGGGGAGGGGCAAGGAGGAAACTTTGTTTGCCGGGTATTCGAGCCTCCAAGGAGAGATAGGCGTGTTGAGCGTGACACCCCTGGTGAAGAGGAGCTAAACGAGCAGGCTGACTGTGGTATTGTTGCACGCACGGGAGAGCGGGGAGCATAGAAGGGATAGGGGGAGAAACGCGGAAGATCGACAAATGGTGTTTGGTGTGAACTTCTGCCGTCGGCCATGGATGATTGTGGGACCGACCACGACTTCGGAACGGGTGGAGTAGAGTATTTGTGAGAATTCTCAAAAACACCTTCACAATCGCGGAGAGATCGCCTGAAATTTCCAATTCGCGATTGTGAGACAGCTCCCCACTTTGGAATGGACAGCTTGGGAAACTTTGCCTGGAAACTTTTGCCATTGGCCATGGATGATTGTTACACACCCGACGATTTTCTATGACGCGGATTTTCAGGTGCCAGAAACCTGTTAGCCCCACCTGCTCTTTGTAATCTGCACCCTCGCTCCTCCTGCCATGTCACCAGAGAATATGGCTTGGAACTGGCCACTTGGCATGGCTGAGACGAGCAGTGCTGGACCTGCCACGTGGAAGGTTTGCATGGGGAGGGGTGCAATGGGAGGGGCGCAAGGAGAGAGATACAGGGTATGGTAATGAGAATGACCCTGCATGAAAAGGCGAACGTGGCTTGGAACTGGGCGCTTGGCATGGATGGGATGAGCCATGCTGGATCTGAGAGATGCATGGGATGGGCGCAATGGGAGAGATACAGGGTATTGGAGTGAGAATAATCCAGCGTGAGAAGGAGAAAATGGCTTGGAATCGGCCATTTGGCATAAATGAGATGGGTCGTGCTGGACCTAGGAGGTGCATGGGAGGGGTGCATGGGAGAGATGCATGGGAGAGATGCATGGGAGAGATGTATGGGAGATATGCATGGGAGAGATGCATGGGAGAGATGCATGGGAGAGATGCATGGGATAGATGCATGGGAGAGATGCATGGGAGAGGTTTGCAATGGGAGGGACGCAATGGGAGGGACACAATGGGATGGGAGGGACGCAATGGGATGGGAGGGTCGCAATGGGATGGGAGGGACGCAATGGGATGGGAGGGACGCAATGGGATGGGAGGGACGCGATGGGAGGGACGCGATGGGAGAGACTCAATGGGAGAGAAATAGGGTATGGGAATGAGAATGACCCATGTGAGAGGGAGACATGGCTTGGAACCGACCAGTTGACATGGATGGGATGAGCTGTGCTGGACCTGGAAGGTGCATGGGAGGGGTGCATGGGAGACACGTACGGGATGCATGGCAAAACGTCTACCATGCAAACAAAAGGCTATTGAACAGCCTTGATGTGCCAAAAGTCTATCTCCTATCAGCGTACAACCTGTATCGGCGATATTTTTCCTTTTGAGTCGACTAAAAAAATTCACGCCGTTTTGAGTCCACTCAAAAGTCAAACGTCTATCTACCGTCAGCGTACCATGTCTGGTAACCTGTATCGGAAATAGAATTCCAGACATCCCAAAACTAGAGCCATGGCAAGGCAATCTGTTTTCCAAGCCAACAGCATTGATTGCCGCCCCATTCTGCCCCCAATGCTGTACGTGTTGAGAGTTTTTATAATAGTACCAACTACCCCCCCGTTCTCCCCACCAGCGCACCTGCGTCCGAATCATCAGCTGCCTCCAGAGCACCAACAACGTTGAGTGCTGCCCCATTCTCCACCCAATGCTGCACACGTTGAGATGCCTCATAGCACTAGCATCTACAGCAAACCACACGGCCCCCCTCCAAGTGCACCTGTATCAACACCATCGGCTGCCTCCAGAGCACCAACAGCGTTGAGCGTCGCCCCGTTCTCCCTCCCATGTTGAACGTGTTGAGATGCCTCATAGCACTAGCATCTACCCCCTCCCATAACTGACTATAACCCCCTCCACATCAATGCCCTCCCCTGTTCCAATTGCTACCACTAGCATCATCCCCCCCTCCCCCCCTCCAGCATACTTGTATCAGCATCATCAGCTGCCTCCAGAGCACCAACAGCCTTGAGCGTCGCTCCATTCTCACCCCAATGCTGCACGGAAACCCTAACTCCCTCCACGTCAGCATGCTCCCCAGACCAATCAACGGTGGCGGTCAAATCCCACACGCCGGGAGCCACCAGGCGCCACTGGTCGCTCTCGGTGGAGATGGCCCCCGGGTCAGGGCCCGTGTGGAGGATCACGTCTGTCGGCGCGTCTTCTGTTCCTGCCAGTACCACCCGGAATAAGGCCGGGGAGGCATCGGTGCTGGGTTCATCAGAAAGGGATTGTGGGGGGGGTGGTTTGGTGGGGGGGGGGGGGGGAGGGGAGGGGAAGAGAGAGGGTCACGTCTGTGGGCGCGTCTTTGGTTCCCGCTAATACCACTCAGAACACAGCCAGGGGATGCATCGGTGCTGGGTTCATCAGAAGGGGGCTAAGGGGGATTAAGGGGGGTTAAGAGGGGTTAAGAGAGGTTAAGGGGGGTTAAGAGGGGTCAAGGGGGTTTAAGGGGGGAAAGACATGAGGAGAAAAGAAAGGTGTGGGCAGCAGAGGGGCCAGCTTCGAGGGGTCGATGGTTCGCGTCATAACCACACAGAACACGGTCGGGGAAGCATCAGTGCTGGGATGATTCAAGGGAGGTTCAAGGGGAGGAGGGGGGAGGAGAGGGGAGGAGGGAGGAGGAAAGGTGAGGAGGGGAGAGGAGGGGGGAGGAGGGTGGATAGGAGGAGCAAGTGAGGCTTTGGCACAGCACTCGGGGATTTTTCTGGTCAAGTGGCGGGAGGAAGGGGTGAGAGCTTGTGGGATCAAGGAATGACTGGTCAAATGGCTTACTCCGATGAAATTGCATGAGGAAGGCTGCTTCTTTGACGACTCAGAAATCACCCACGGATTGTCGCCTGGAAGAGATCACCGCATACTGGGGGGAAGATGCGCTGAATCCGAAGGGATTTGCATGAGGAATGTTATTGAGTTGTCGGTCGGAAGAGACAACAGCATGCAGTGTGTGAGGACTAGGGGGTGAAGATGGTCTTACGCCGAAGGGATTTGCACGTTGAAGACTCCCTGTGCTTGGCGGGAGGCAATCTGCGCGTTGTAGAGAGCTGGAAGGGAGCAGAGAGGGGTGTAGAAATGGAGTAGAAAGGGGCAGAGAATGAGTAGTCAAGAGGGATTAGTAGAAAAGGAGTAGAAGGGAGTGGAGAGGGGAGTGGTACAATAATTTCACCACCATGATGTGGCGTGGGTGACAAAAATAAAAGAACCCCACATCGGTTCAAGATCAGGATTTGTTTGGGCCTAGTTGGTTGTTTAGAGGGGCTGACCATCAGACCAATTTTGTCTGATATCTGAGACCCTGAGCTGAAGAGAGACTGCGGTACTGGCAGTGCAGAAGTGAAGGGCGGCTACTGTACTCCAACAGCTCCTCTCTTGGCGTGCAGTATCTTCAGTTCCTCTTGGTCCCTCTCTGAACATCCTAGAATCTTCATCCCCCCCCTCTGTCCATCCCCTC